GACAGCCCCAGGGTGGTGACTTAGCAGGAAGAGTGGGGTCCTCACTTAGCACACTACATCCTAAGCTGGCCAAGGAGGGCAAGGTAGGTGTCAACAAAGTGGGGTGATGAGTAGACTGACGATGAAAGAAGGAATGAAAGCAACACGAGGAGGACTCTGGAATCTGGTTTATTAGCTGCAGGTGGGGACAGATCGTGGGAAGCGCTGGCAGCTCGGATGGGGGCAGGGGTTGGGCCTCCCCAGGCTGCCCTCTCCTCCCTCCTCCATTTGAAGGCCGGGTAGGTTGAGCTGCGGGGATGGGGAGCCTCTGGCAGAGGAGGGGCAGAAGGCAGCGGTCACTGGCCCTCCTAGCATCCAGCACAGGCAGCGTAGGCACAGATCTCACAAGTGCTGGGGTCCTGGGCGATGGTCTCTGGACAGGAGAGATGAGGCTCCGTGAGAGCAGCTTCTCCTCCCAAAGCCCCTATCCTCCCTTGAACCAGAGTTTGTACAGCCACCATCCAGGAGAACCCTAGGCCTGTTGTCTCTGACCAGCGGGGCTTTCCACCCTGAACCAGGACTCAGGTACCACTCAAGCCAGCCAATCAGAGTGGAGGTTCTACCCAGAAGGGTGCTACAGCTGAGACCAGAGGAACCAGGACACATGGCAGAGGGCTTACTAGATCCACCAATCAAAGCCGAGCCTGTCCTCCAAATCCCACCAATCAGAATACACCTCTCTCACAAGGGCCACCAATCAGGGAATTCCCAGGCCCCACCCTTCAGAGAGGAGGCTACTCACCCAGCCTCTGGAGGATCTCCTGGGCGTTGGGCTCCTTGCAGACAGGCTTGAGTTCTTCGGGGAAATTTGGGGAGCTACAGGCGATAGGAATAGTGGACCGACCCAGATTTCTAGGGTTCCTGGGATCCTGGATCTCCTGGAGGTCCTTGAGCTTCTTCACTGACTCCAGAGAAAAGGCAAACTCTCCATCCTAAGAGAGAAGTGACCGGAGTGTGAGGCCAGGCTGCAGCCTGCTCCCTGGCTGCTTCTGCAGGGACTGCCTCCTCTCCAGCCCCAGTGGCCCTCAAGCAGTGTTTGCATCACAGGGGAGCCAAGTGCTCCACTACTGGGCAGTATGAGGTGGTCAGAGCTCCAGCCTTACAGCCAGACACTGGGTTTGAATCCTGGTTTTGCTCTGTGGCCGTGGGCAGGTTATTACACTCTGGGAGCCTTGGTTCTGCATGTTATATGAGAAATGGAGAAAAGCCATGTGAAGTGCTAGGAACACAAGAGGAGCCACTGTGCTGATTTTTAGGGAGAAGCACAGAGCTGAGACAAAGGCCCAGGCATCCTGGTTCTACGTGACCAGACCCAGGTTGTCTCCATCCCTGCCTGAGAGCAATGCAGACTGATTACCTGGCCCCCAGCTCCTGCCTGCTGTCTGGCTGGTGTTTGAGAAGCAATAAAAGGCCTCCCGGGGCCTGTCTGCAATAGCAAGTGGGGGCCCTGCTGGGTACCAGACTGGCCTGTTGTCAGCATCCACACAGGTGGGCACACCCTTCCGTCAGGACCTCCAGGATGTCCAGATGATGCCTGAG